TATCTTCATGGATAGTTTCATAAGTTGACACAACACTTGATGTCTCAAATCTAACAGCATTGTATCCTTCTACAAATTCGTCAAATGTATTGGTTATGCTCTCAAACTCTGCTTGTGATTCATAGAGTTTTTGTTCTCCACCATGTGCATTTGAATTTGAATGTTCCATTTGGGCTACAAGAAGAGCAGTGCCATATCTAGTGAGTTCAACAAGGTGAAGTGCAAATACATGTAAAGGTGAAATTCTTGTGGCATTTACTGTTTCAAGGACTCGTGTCATTGCGGTGGCTTGGCGAGCATTGTGGACACAAGCAACAACTCTAAGCACTACATCACTCCTTAACTTCTGTACAGTTCTCAGCTGTGATTACTTAAACCGAAATTTTGGCTTGTATATAGCATTGATCAAGGGAGATACCAGCACAGTCATTATTATAATACCAAGCATCATGATTGTGAAATCATATAAGTTCAAAATCGGTTAAAAAAAAATAAACACACATTTGAATTAGCTGTAACTAAGAGCTAATGAACTTGAAAAAGGAGTATGAAATAAAAAAACCACTCCCCGTTGAACCTCAACTTAATGAGGATGAGGTGAAGAAAATACTTATATGCAGTCTTATCCTTATTTGTATATGTTAGAGAAGTATAAAACCATTAATGTAGCCTCACCCGACAGCTTAAACTTTTGGGTTGAATTGGTTCTTTACTATATACTTAGAAAGAGATGGTTTTATGGATTGAACCCGTGATCTTTCGGTCACAAAGAAACCAGTTTTACATATTTGCAAAAAAAAAAAGGAGAATGAAATGAAGTTGGTAATTGATTATTACTTACTTTTCTGTCCCAGGCAACGCTTAGCAGGATCAATGCCATGATGCCCTTAGTGTTGAGAAGCAATAAAGTGGTAATTAAGGAGCTTAGAACTTTAGGGATGGATAACAGCAGCATAATGAGCAACATCACATGCCATTTTGGCTGGGTCACAATCATTAAATAGTTGATTTTTAAGCCAAAACCAGCAAAGTAGATAGGGCATAGAACCCCGGTAACAAAATCATCTGTCATTTCCATCACCAACTTAGCAAACCTCCCATGAGGTAAGATTAGTCCATAAATATTTGTTCTGCACAACTTTGGGCTTCTTGTTGGGCCTGCGAGGTGGGCGACAACCCAACATCTCCATGAAATCATCCTCAACCTCCTTCTTGGATAACTCCACGTGAAATTTCACCTTATCAGAATTACACTCTGCTTGCTTTTTTCTCAAATTCCACGGCTTGACAGGTTCTTCTTCGTTAGCCAAAATCGCTTCTTTCAACCTATCTGCCTGATTCTTGAGATCAAGCGTGAGCTTCTGCCTCACTGCTGCAACGCCATCCTCATCCTCGCCGTTTCGAACGCCTCACATACATTCAACTCCCAATTGAAACCTCCCGCGCCGTGAGCAGCGCTAGTGCATTGATGTTCTTCTCATAAAAAACCATTGATTCCTCAGTCTTTGACCCGGAAACTTCGCCGTCAGCAGCGCATGCAAATGCTCCTCCTCTGGGTTCCCCAATTCAGGAAAAGGGAAGGGAACAAATTGAAGCAATTCATTGATCTCGCCATGGACTTCGGCGCCGGATACCTCTTTAGAAAGAGGCATGTCTAATTTAGGCGTGACATGTTGACACGTGACACAAAAAAGTCAACTTACAAACCGTAAAACTTTGGAAAGCCATAACTTTTGACTCCAGTATACAAATCAGGTAAAAAAAAATTATTTAACAAAACTTTTCGAGATCTGCGCAATGACACCTCATTTGACATATTCTATGTAATGTCCCACATCGGTTGGAGAGGGGAATGAAGCATGCCTTATAAGGGTGTGGATGCCTCTTCTAGTGTGAGGCCTTTTGTGGGGTGTCCCAAGAAACAAAACCGTGAGCTCGACATACAATATCATGCTACAGGGTTTGGGTTACATTTATGGTATCAGAGCCTGGCCCTGGACCGGTGTGTACAGCGGGGAATTCCCAGTGGGGGAGGATGTAATGTCCCACATCGGTTGGAGAGGGGAATGAAGCATGCCTTATAAGGGTATGGATTGTGTGAGGCCTTTTGTGGGGTGTCCCAAGAAACAAAACCGTGAGCTCGACGGTGCTTGTGCGCGGGGAAAAGCGGACAATATCATGTTACAGGGTTTGGGGCTGTTACATTCTATCTCTCACTAACAAAATTTAAATTTGCAATAATGATATTATAAGAGCGTTTAAACCCAGAAACCTCCAAGTTTTGAGTTTGTGATTTAATATAAAACAATAAATAAAGATTAGATTTGTGATTTAAATTAAAAAAATCAAATTTTTTAATTTTTAATATAAAAAATAAATAAAGATGATTTTTTATTTAAACTCCAAAACTAATTTGAAAAATCTGTATTAATAAAAGAAATAATTAAATAAATATTCTAAATCTCTAAGGAAGAAGGATTTTGTTTTTGAAAACCATTCATAGGTTATAAGCTTCCAACAAATCAAACTATAAAGACTCCACCATTGTTTTGTATTAGAGACGTTTTCAAACTTTAGAGTTCACGATTGGATTTCAGATTTAGTTTTCTTTTCTTATACCCATTAGTTCCTTTTTTATTTTCTTTTAAATGTATTTAGTTTTTTCTTTCTCTTAGGCAGACATAATTTAAATGGTTTTAAAGGAAAAGTCATAAATTAGAAGGATGTAACTTTCAATACGGTTCCATAAAAGTCATAAAAAAGTTATATATTTTTAAATTATTTTTTATTATATTTCTGTATCTTACGATTCAATATGATTCAGATATGAAAAATCGGCCAAACGATAACGATACGTATTGTGATTCAATAATATTTTAATAGGACAAACACTTGGTAGAAGTATATATTTTAATAGGACATTAAGTATCCTTATTTATAGATGGACTAAACTTTGGTGCCATCTTTAAGTACCATTCTTGTTCGAGTTGTGTTTGTGAGAGATAAAATATATCATATAAGATGTCTTTGCGTAGATCTCGAAAAGTTATGTGGAATCAAAAAAAGAAATCTGATTTGGATACCCGAGTAAAAGTTATGGCCTAACATTAAACTGTTAACTTTTTGTGCCATTTCAACATGAACGCCTAAATTAGGCGTTGTGAATTATTGGTGTATTTTGATTCTTTGTATCCATTATTTTCATGTGGACGTTTGATCTAATTAAGGGTTTTTACTTCTTCATTTAAAATTGTTTGTGTTCATTTTTTGTGATGTTGTTTGAAGTGGTTTGGATGTTGGAAATTGATTGATTAATCTTTTAATGTAAAGAGAACAACAAAGAGATTTGAAAAAAAGAAAGATAAATGACCTAACCCTAAGTGTGTGCTTCGATTTCGTATGGTGTTAATGATGTTTAATGCTTGATTGATGATGTTGAGTTCAATCAAGTGAATATATGTTAAGAAAATGAAAAATGGATGACTTAACCTTTGATGCATGATTCAGCCAAGCTTGAACAAATGTGAAGTACAATTGATTCTAAGTGAAGTTAAGGTTGTGATGTGATCAATTGGTGATGCAAATAAAGAAATTATAATGAATTGTATAAGTCTTTGTTTATACATAGTGACATGTTAAATTATGTCTTAGAATTTTGGAAGTAGCTCCCCTAAATAACATTCCTCATGAACTTGTGATCATCATTAGTTACTTGTGAGTTCAATATTTTAGTTGTAAAATTCTTAGTAAAAGTGAAAGACAGAACACAGTCAAGTCATTTGTTGCCAAGAACTGACAACCACTCTAGCCTCTACCAAGCAGAAAGATGAAATTTTATTCGTAACATGAATTGTTTCTTTTCTATATGTAAATAGTAATTAAAGGGTGAACTAAATTTTACCCCCCTGAAATGCTAAATCTCTATATGTACTACATCCATAGCATAATCTTTATTATGATTAGCATGTATTGAATTTGATGCTTAATAATTGGAAATTATAGCAGATTGACTTTTAAATGTTGTCTACATGAGTAATCATAAAAATTTTGCATGAAGATTAGATTCCTTTCTTACATACAATGCAATTCACTTAGCTATGGCTCATGCCATAATTATTACTTTGTTTTTGCTGAGGAGGGTACATTTATATTTACAATTTCCATTATAATATATTTGATTTTATATGTGCTAACTTGATCCAGTGTCAACTTCAAATCATAGATTTTATGTGAAAATTTTGAATTTTTTTTTCTAGAGATGGTATATTTATGGATCTCCATGATGGAATTTCAGTGAACCTACCACCATAAGATGTGAGACAAAGAACCAAGAGAAAGAAAATGGTGGTTGGATAACTACTATACTTGTAAGTTTTTCAATATATCTTTATGTTTAATTTGAAAAACCTTTGTTTACTTCCTTTAAACTTCCCTAGAGTTCAAAAATCTACGGTCTTCTATAATATATGCAATTATCGAGGTTAAAAGTAGTAGATTTTCTATTTAAGTGTTGGCAGAATGGCCATAATGTTTAAGCAGGTGTCTCTTTCTTCAATTTATGATGTGAATTTAATATAATGAAACAAGAACATGAATGTGTCTTTTTTCCTTTCAAGTGAAGTAATTTGGGATGCATGTTTCTACTACTTGTGTCTGCAACTGCAACTCTAGTAAGTTAAATTTCTGTTTGGATACCTGATAATTAAGAATAGAGGAAAGTCACTTTGATAGGATCTTTAGGCACCTACAGATATGGTACCAAGCCATGTCTGTCTTTCCATTTTTAGCATCACAATACCAACCCAACATAATTGGTTACATCTTTGTAAGAATCAGCAAAACAAAGAGCGTCTAAGAATTTTCTGTCTTTGACTTTCTATACTTCAATTGTTTGCTGAATCTATGTTTAAATGCAGTGTTCTAAAGTCTAGTTTGGCAGAAATGAATTTAGGTACGTGAGGTTGAAATTTTTCTTTGCACATATCAAACAAGGACCATCCTTCAAAAGTTGACTAAATATCCTTTGTCTACAAAAGCAAGATCTAGTGCTGAGATAAAGATTTTGCAAATCATTTAAAAAAAGAATGTGGCTTCTGCAAGATCAATGGCAGGGGCAAGGTCTGCAACTTTGTTTTCACACTCTCTTTGCTCATCATCTGGATCACTGTCAGCCATGATTCCTGCTCCAGCCTGGAGATGGGCAACCCATTGTCTACGTTTGTTCACATCCTTAGACGGGTACATTGTGTAAAAACGAGTATAAGTTGGGAAAACTATGGTACTCAGAGCAAGGGCAATGTCCATATCACCAGAAAAAGAGATGCCTCCAAATACCCCATTATATGGCCCACGTCTTGTGACTTCCAACTGATCAATCAACTCCATGGCTTTCACCTGTTGTACAGCACAGATAACGATAACAATTTAGGACAAAAATAGTCAAACCAAGACTGCAATCTTAAGCTGGTGACAATCAACAAAGAGTGTTGTGGTTGTTCTAAGAATGTTTAGTGATAACCCCTTCCACCCCACCTTTCTCTCAACAATCCCTATGTATGCACAAGTAATATCAGAAAGGGAAGTGCCAATCTATACCAGAAACTACATCAGTGAGGAGAAAGAGACTGCAAACACCTAGGTTATAGCCTTGAAGGATGCCAAGATTTACCTTTGGTGCTCCACTAACTATACCAACAGGTAATGCAGCTAGCAATACATCCCAACTTGTCAAGTTATCTAGTAACTCCCCAGTGACCTGCAAAGACAGGTACAGTTTTCCATTATCCGTGGCAAGCTTCTGCACTAAATTCACAAAGAAACCAGTTTTACATATTTGCAAAAAAAAAAGGAGAATGAAATGAAGTTGGTAATTGATTATTACTTACTTTTCTGTCCCAGGCAACGCTTAGCAGGATCAATGCCATGATGCCCTTAGTGTTGAGAAGCAATCCAATGCCTATACCATCTCGAGCAGACATACCAAAGAAGAAAGTGGTAATTAAGGAGCTTAGAACTTTAGGGATGGATAACAGCAGCATAATGAGCAACATCACATGCCATTTTGGCTGGGTCACAATCATTAAATAGTTGATTTTTAAGCCAAAACCAGCAAAGTAGATAGGGGATAGAACCCCAGTAACAAAATCATCTGTCATTTCCATCACCAACTCAGCAAACCTCCCATGAGGTAAGATTAGTCCATAAATAAAAGCCCCAACAATATGGTGTGTACCAAGAAAATCTGTGATAAATGCACAAACAAAAAGTTCCCATCAACACACCCATCAACTATGGCCTGTCCCATGAATAAGAGTCTGTTTTGCGTTCAATGAAAGGAGCAAGGATAGGAAGCACCACACAGAAGCAAAAAATAATGAAAACTAAGGTGCTAAGTGCTGAGAGCAATGGTTTTCCACCACTATGTGAATAAGGAATCAATAAAGTGAACAAAACCCAACCATATGCATCAATAAAGTGAACAATCACTGTAGTAGATGATATACTAACTTCTCAACCTGAGTTGGGGTCACAAATAATTGGGAAAGCTCAAGGAGTGTATGTGGCAAGTTCAGCAGATGGGTCTAGACAGATGATGGCATTCACAGCACTGTTTGAAGGAGGGGAATATGGAGATAGCTTGAACTTTTATGGCCTTTACAAGATTGGAAGCACCATGTCACAATTATCTGTGATAGGGGGTCCAGGGAAGTTTAAGAATGCAAAAGGGTTTGCAGAACTGAGAGGTCTTATCCCACCAGGGGAAATTTCCACTGATGGTGCTGAGACATTGCTGAGGGTCACTGTCCATCTGAACTACTAAACTGTTATGTGGATTTTGTGAAAGAAACTGGGTTCTGTTTAATTACAGATGATTATGAGATTGGTCCTGTATTTTGTCACTTTGATAATGTATTTGAAATCTTATTTGAAAACCATATGATGAGTTGTTCTTTTTATATTTGGCAACCTGGCATGAGTTGTTCTTTTTGCTATTCCTTAAAAGAATATGTGAATCACTTATCCTTGCCCTTCCTTTTCTTAGAGGGACTGCCCTTGCCCTTGCCCTTCCTTTTCTTAGAGGGGCTGCCCTTCCCTTTTTTGGAAGGACGCACCTTCTCAACAACCTTGTAACGATCAGCAGTAATCTCTGTCAACCACGACCCGGGGAAAATGTCCTGCACAAAAATCAAAAATCAAAAATCAAAATCAGAGTGTTAACAAAAACAAAAAAAAACTACTGTGCTAAAAAAAACTAAAGCACTAAAAGACTAAAACAAACACAAAAATATTAAACATAATGAAAAGGGCATAAGCAACCAACATCTAATTTTTTCTGCACAACTTTGGGCCTCTTGTTGGGCCTGCGAGGTGGGCGACAACCCAACATCTCCATGAAATCATCCTCAACCTCCTTCTTGGATAACTCCACGTGAAATTTCACCTTATCAGAATTACACTCTGCTTGCTTTTTTCTCAAATTCCACGGCTTGACAGGTTCTTCTTCTTCGTTAGCCAAAATCGCTTCTTTCAACCTATCTGCCTGATTCTTGAGATCAAGCGTGAGCTTCTGCCTCACTGCTGCAACGCCATCCTCATCCTCGCCGGAGCGTCGCCGTTTCGAACGCCTCACATACACCGCAAGCTTCTTCTCAGGCTCCGACTCCTTCTTCTGTGCCGCCATTGATTCCTCAGTCTTTGACCCGGAAACTCCCGCGCCGTCAGCAGCGCTAGTGCAATTGATGTTCTTCTCAGGCTCCGACTCCTCCTTCTGTGCCGCCATTGATTCCTCAGTCTTTGACCCGGAAACTCCCGCGCCGTCAGCAGCGCTAGTGCAATTGATGCTCCTCCTCTGGGTTCCCCAATTCAGGAAAAGGGAAGGGAACGTGAAATTGTGAAGAGGGTTTCTCATGTGACTCGTCGCCATGGACTTCGGCGCCGGAACCTCTTCAACCAGACCCCTCAATACCATTTACGGGAAGAAAAAGAGAGCAAGAAAAACAGACAGTGAAAACAAGAAGGGAAGAATAGAAAAACCACACTGCGTCCAGTGTGGTGTTGAGAGCGCAAAGGAAAGCTGGAAATTTTTCTCGGGAAAATTTGGGAGAGCAAGGGAAAGACAAGGTTTGGTTTTACAAAGTAATTATGCGTGAGTGTGAGTGGTTCTGTTTTGCAAAGTTGCCGGGAAACGAAACGAAACTAAACTTATATAAGAGTGAGAGGAAGGCAAAGACAAGGTTTTACACGTGAATGTGAATGTGATTTTGATAATATTTGATAATATTTCTTTTAGAAAATACAAAATAAAGGAAGATTTGATTTTGAAAACAATATTCTCTCCTCATATTTGTTTCCTTATTCCTATTAATATATATTTTTTAAGAAAAATCTAAAATATTCATAAAAAAAAATAGAATCTTAAAGAATTATTTGATAATATTTATTTTAGAAAATACAAAATAAAGGAAGATTTGATTTTGAAAACAATATTCTCTCCTCCTATTTGTTTCCTTATTCTCCTTTATTAAAATATATTTTATTATTTAAAAACTCTAATTATCTTTAACAAAAAATATCGTTGCATTGCATCTACAAAGCGTAAAATTCGGATACGGGTCTCATCTTGTTTGCTCTTGATTGAATCACTTATCTCTAATAGTATCACAAATTTGTAGAAAAATAATATTTGCATTTTTAATTTGGATCTTTTCCATCTTCTCCCCCCTATACTTTTACATGAGATTCAATGACAAACTTCAATTCAAAGTTAAGGACGTTGATGATAAGATAATCCTAATACCTGATTTAAGGGAGAGAAACTAATAAGATAAAATAGTATCCTAACAAGGAGCGCAAAACAATTAATATTTTAGTTAAACAATTACGCATTTATTGCAATTTCGGGAATAATTACGAATTTATTGCACACTGTCATTTATGCAATTCGAATCACAATTTGAATTATAGAATGACTAAGATCTAACTAGAATCATATCTACATTTGAATTATAGGATGACTAGAATCTGACTAGGATCATATCGGCATTTGAATTATAGGATGATGTTACTATTTGCATTTAAGTTTAGATTTGAATCATGACGTTATTATTTGTAATTTGTATATTTGCCTTATTCATTTTCTTATAGCTATTCATTTTATTTATAAGAAGAGTCAATCATTGACACACTAGATTAGTTCGGTAAAAATTCTATTACGAATTTACCATCCCCTCTCTCTCGGTTTGTGTTTGTGAGAAATAAAATATATCAAATGAGATGTCATTGCGTAGATCTCGAAAAGTTATATGGAATCAAAAAAAGAATTACCTGATTTGGATACCCGAGTCAAAAGTTATGGCTTTCAAAAGTTTTATCATTAATTTTTTTTTTTTTTGGAAAAAAGTATGACACGTGTCAACACCAGATGAAAGACGCCTCATTGGGACGTCTTCCCCTAGGGTGAGACGCCTCACTGGGGCGTCACATGTGACACCCATTTTGGGCGTGACAGTGTGCAATAAATTCGTAATTATTCCCGAAACTGCAATAAATACGTAATTATTTAATTAAAATACAATAATTAAATTTTTTTTGCCTAACGAGGAGTAACAAATCCTAATGAGAGGAGAATTTCTAAGAGATAGGAGAGAGATTCTGATAAAGGAAAAATAATATTGAATATTCCAAAACGACGTCGTTTTGGGAAAACGACGTCGTTTTGGGATTGAAAGATTAGAAAATTATAATTATAAAGACTATAATAATCCTGAAATAAATTAAAATTTAAAAAATACCATAATTTCTGCCCTAAAATAACATCG